ACAAGCTTCCTCAACAGTCATCAGCAGAGCCATCGACGCCGGCTACCATCACCTTACCGATAACATCGAAACCACCGTTTGGTCGTCAAGTCATCAAGGGTTAAAGAAGAAAAGAATAGCCTGAAGATCGCAGAAGATGATATTCTCCTAAAAAGCCGGACTCCGGTAGGACGAGGGAGGAACTAGAACCACAGACGGCTTTCAGGTGAAAGCGACCCACACGAGGTTCTGCAACAACCTCTACTCCTCGTAGGTCGAGGACAACCGGAAACTGCCCCAAACTGTGCCAAAAGCCGTTCCTGACGATTCTAACTGCAAAGAAGTACATACACTGGGCAATAAAAAATATCAAGAGTGGCAAATATCCTGTCTGGATGAATGATCCTGTTCAACGCCTCTCCAAAGTACATCAGGTCGAAGTACGGACGTGCTTTGCAACTTTTCAGCTCTTTGATTCTTCTGTTCAAGAAAGGTGATGTTGAAGACTTGAAGACTCTTCCGTCACAAGTCTACACCGTGTTTGTCGGAATCATCCTGAAACGCTCGCTAGTAAGGAACAAGCCGATTTTCGATGATCATAATTTCTGCACCGTGGGCTACATGTACGTAGTGAAGCAGTTAACAGAGCGGTGTCACGAATGCCAATTCCTCATCGACTTCAAGAAAACATTCGATTCTACTGAGCTGAGTGCAGTGTCAACCTTCTGACACCTCAGTCGATATCAGCCTCTTTGAGGAACCGTATCGAATCAGCATCAAAAGGAGAATGCGCCAACGACACACGGTTTCTGCTAAGCTTTTCGTCAGGGCGCTGGAATCCCTGTTTAACGTCATCTAAGGTGGGACGGCGGCGTTAACATCGACGGACAACGATTTACCCATTTGCTGTTTGCAGACGTCCTCATGATATTCGCCAAATGCTTGGCGCAACTCCTAGCAAAGATGGTGTGCAGGTGCAGAATGAGTCACGTGCCATACGTCTGGAGATGAACAGCACCCACTACGTGGTCAGTAGAGGAATGTAGGTGGCGTCGG